CTGGAATGTAATCAATTCTCCAAGAGAAAACACTAGGAGCCAATTGTATTAAACAATCAGCTAAAACAGGAACTAGTGTAAAAATATTTATATAAATATATAAGACATGCAGATGTATGTATGTATTCCCTGTGTGGAATATTTCTAGTAGGAAATTTCAGAAACCAGTTTAATAGGAATCGGAGGGCTGAGTGACAAGGCCACAAATGAGACTTTTCACTTGCTTACCCTTTTCAGAGACTCTGAATTATGTATCATATACACATATTATTTTTAAAAGTTACCTTAACTAAGATATAAGAGAAAAATACATTGCATTTGGGATTGATTATACATACTTAAATATTGTCTGTTGAAGGGGAATGAACTACAAGGATAGCCCTACTTCTCTCTCTTTCCTGGGTTAGGTGAACCAATAGCTCATGTAAGCATCTTTATGTATGGTTTGCCTCATACAACTTTGGTAAATTACAGTTGAGATTTCTGGTATTCAGAGCATATGCACTCCCAAACTCCAACTAAATGCAGACACTAAATCCTTCTTTGATACTATTTTACTCTTTAAAGAGTGAATTCTGTCCAGATAAGTGATACGTGTTTATGAATAAAAGATACAGAATTACATCCTTTTAAAACTCCTCACTGGTACTCTTTAGCAGCCTTGTCTTCACAACTGTCTTTGGCCCTTACTCTCTAGAAAAGAACTGTCTCAGGAGGTCTCCTTGACAGAGGAAAGATCATCAACTAGTTTCACAATGCTTAACAAGGGCGCAGAAGCTTTTTTATACTAAATGGAAGTTGCTTGATCTAAAATTTAAAACTAAGGGGAGTGTAAAGAGAAAAATATAACAACAGAGCTAGAAACACACACAAAAGAAAGTTTCTCTGAAAGCTAGGGAGAAACAGAGACCCATAAGGGAATATTACTATCCTACAGTCTTAAACTGAGTTTGAAAATTCACAGGGATAATGAGATTATACTTTAATCATACTAGTTCTAAATAAAAAAATCAAGTGAAGGTAAGCTGTGTTATAATACCTATTTTTAGAAACTTGGGCAAACATGAAATGATTTTGAGATACTGAATTTGGAAGCTAAGACTCATGGTATTTGGCATAGGTATTGTCATCACATTTCTTTAGAGCAGGACTTCTCAGCAGAGGCACTACTGCCATTTGGGGGTAGATAATTCTTTATTGTGGGGGATTCTCCTGTACATCTGGAGGCTGCTTAGCAACACTTCTTGTTGCCTCTACACACTAGACCAGTGGCATCTCCCTAACTGTGACTATCAAAAAAATTTGCATGTATGGTCAAATGTCCCCTAGGGTACAAAATTGCTTTAGAGGAAAGGAAGAAAGCAAAATTATAGAAATATTTTTTCTTTGTGCATTTATGTTTTTAACTTGGGATAAGCTTCTGATGTGTTTTGAAATTGAACCAATTTTGCAAAGGACAAGAGATTGTGTAATGTATAAATTTATCATACCATTGGGTATAGCGTAAAGTAAGAAATGTTGATAAGCAATTATTTAAAAACCAAATGTGTTCTTCAGTGGTCATACAACACACAGCAGAAACTCAAAATCAATGATATTAAATAGCAATTCACCACCTTCAACTAATTTATATTTTTAATATGTTTTCTGATTTATCTTTATTTTGATAGAAGATACCAATACCTTCATGAAGAGAAGACTCAGATTAGTGGTAGCTCTGAGTTACAAACCTGAAATAACTTATGTCACATTGTGATAAAAACAAGATCCATTAAAATAGCAATTCATACAAAGTAACTAAAGTTGTGGATGTCCTGGTCTTGTAGGAACAGTTTTGAAGAACTGATGGGGCTGTGAAGAGTTTACCTCACGGGCATACGCAAAATGGTGCTCTTTGATGATTATGCAGTCCTTATTACTGATTCTTGATTATCTTCATAAGTGCAGCAGTGTGTGTGCCTTCTAGATAATGTAGAAGTACAGGTTACTTACTTCCAGTGAATGCTATCCAACGAGCATATTTTGTAGCTTCTCTTCGCCAGTGGGAAGCCACCAGCAAACCACATGTGACAGTCAATGAAATGATTCCCATGATGATAAAAAACAGTGTGGTGACCCACTCGGGGGGAAGCCGGGGAGGGATGCATGTCCGGTCTCGTCCATGGATTGTTTGACACTGTCGCACTAGGCCCACAGTGAGTGCTCCTGGGAAGATGCAAAAGGTGGGAATGGTTTAGTGGGTCTAGCATGCTCAGGGAATATTTCCCACTACACCCCTTGCTTTAGTCTTTAAATCTTATTTGTCCACTTGTGGGTCATTCGAGTACTTAATTCCCAAGTCCTACTCTTAAGCATTTTGCTGTCACTTATCATGGAGCATAACACACACAGTGAACTTCAGAAACAAAAACCAAAAACACAAAACCTTACAGAAGCCATAAAAGGCAGATAAAAGGCAGTTAATTCAGTCATTCATTAAACAAATACTTTTCTGAGTACTTCTGCCTGGCACTGCTCTAGACTCCAGAGAAATAATAGTGAAGAGAGACGAGGTTCCTGCCCTCGTGGAACTTGCAAACTATCAGAAAGAGTTGCAACTCTTCTATTTCAGATTCAAGACTCACTGTATATTGCTTTTGGCTGAGGAGGGGGAAAAGGCTTTTTAGGAAACTGAAAAACTTGAGACATGCGTAACCACAGTATATAAATAAAATTAAGTAACAGATTAAATACTAGAAGCAATATGTTTATCAAAGTTAAAGGATCCAGCTCATCGATTTTTATATAAATGTTCACAATGCCAAATCATTACTGGCATGCTTCAACAGAAAAGCACAAAGGCAAATTGCAATGGTAATTTTTAAAGTCCTCCCTCTGCTTTAAATAACATAAATGACTTTTTAAAAACATCGAGTGCTTTTTCCATAAGCACGTTCTCTCGTCAAACCTAAGGAACCTGTCTTATCAAATTTGGGGTGAATTAATTTACAGAAACCCAAATCAACAAGGTAAAGAGTATTTTCTCCTCTTCTTCAATAGGAAGAATAAAATCCAAGAGGAATTTCAGATGGGAAAATACTAAAAATACAAGACCAGAAATTTCTGGAACTGCTGAAAACATCTTTATTGGGGGAAGGTATCTCATTTTGGTCTGCATTATTCTCTAAATATAAACATAAACTAAAAATAAAAAAGACCCTCGCGGGCGCAGGGACCCAAGTTCGATCCCTGGTACCAAAATAAATAAATAAATAAATAAAATTTTTAAAAAAGACGTTGACATCAATATCATAGCACTTTCCATGAATAAGTGCTTTCTGTGAAGACAATAAAACTCCTAGAAGTTACTTTGGTAGGAGAAGCAGACCAGGGCTGGATCTGTCAGTGTAGATGTATGTGTACGAGGCAAGGTGGTTGGAGGGACCTCCTTTGTGTAACTTGTATTTTGCCACTGACACATTTTTTAGAAATAAAGCATGTGTTAAAAGAAAGTGAAGCAAGAAATCAGATCTGCTCTCAAAATTAAGTCTTTTTTTCTCCTAACGAGAAGTCTGACCATAATTGTAAGTAGAGTGAAAGAAGTTGTACTTTTTCTCCCAAATAGCTAATAATTAGGCTCATCTGGCAATTCTAGCACAGGTGCAAACAGCATTATAATTATGGGGTTGTCACAGACAGGATGGAGGCAGATGGGACAAAGCGAACAAATCTTCATAGTAATGCCATCCACTATGGCCCCTACCTGCTGCTTGGAGCTGAGTAACTTCATAGGCCAAAGAGAAGTATACCAAGTGAAAATATTTGACATTATTGCTAGTCTTTCAAATTTCATGGTAAGTGCTTAAAACTAGAAGAGAGGATAAGGCAGGGGTGAGCAGGTACCAGAGAGTTGCAAAACTGTTCTAGAAAGTTTTCTTCAAAAGACTACTTGAAAGGAAAGAGTGTCTTATTCTGATAATCCACTTATTGTAATTTTGGAAATAAAGAAGGCATTCAGAGCAGTGCCTAAGAATTTCCAACAGGAAACTAGTCTTGATCATTCAGGAAAGACTTGCAACAAATTACTCTCTTGTAGTCACGATTCATTTATAAAAGCTGTAGTTGCTATAAGAATATAGACTACGGGCAATGAAAGACCTTCTGACAAAATGCAATATTGTGGATTCCTACTATAGGAGCAACTTTCTTCATAATTTAATATACAAATAATGTTCCACTGTTAACTATGTATCTATTGGACTTAGATTTACATTTGAGAATTATTTTTGGCTGGCAAATATTAAAAACTGTAGGTTTATTAAATCATAACTAAAATAGCTCTCCTTCAAAATATTACTGAATTTCCTTACATTGTCTCTCTTTCTTGGGTTATGGACACGATAAGGAACATTAAGGATGAAATTCATCACTAAGCTTTCTGAGCAGGATTGCTTCTTTCTTCCTCTCCTGCCTGGCATACCATACCAAGTGACTTATAAATAGAACAAGTAAGGAAATGAAAATTACAGAGATAACAAACCAACTGGAAATAACCTGACAGATACTCAGCTTTGAACAAACTATGTTCCTACATTTATAAAATTCCTTTTCACAACAAATCAAGACTAAATATTCAGCAGTTCTGTTCTGGAAGAAAGGAGAGCTAATTCTAATTTACAACCAGAAGATACACTGCAGATAAGAATATCAATACAGAAATGTTTTATTGTGGGCTGGGGGTGTAGCCTAATAGTAGAGCATGTGCTTAGCATGCATTAGGGCCTGGGTTCAATCCCCAGCAGCATCCCTTCCACCAAATGAGTGTCATTCATGTTTAGCACTACTAGAGTAGTCAGATAATCCAAAACTAATATGCTGTCTACTTTCAGCGAAAATAGACTTTACTTAAATATATCATAAAAGGGCTAGAACAAACAATGATCAGTCAAGATTTATTATAATTCATTTTCTACAGTAAGACTCTTAAATCAACAAAATCTGTATAGCAGCCATATATTTTCCTTAAGCTAACTGGAGTAATCTGCCAGGGTAACTGTGCTGCTACTATTAAATCTTGTAAGTTCAGGTAGTGTTAGCACCCATACATTCATTTTCTGCCCATGGATAGATTTTTTACTTCAAATTTTCTTAACACACCTGTCTGGTATCACAGAATCATGCCCTTGATTTTAAAAGGTAGTTTTTTCCTTTTTTTTTTTGGTGCGTGCTAGGTACTTAACCTAGGACCTTGGACATGCTAAGCTCCTCAGCTAAAAGCTAAGATAGCTTCTTTTTACCTCAGTCAGAATGTAAACTTTTCAGAGGCAGAATAGTACCTTCTAGTTGACTGGAAGCCCCTGAAATGGCCTATAGCAGTGAATATGAAGCAGGAATTAAGAAGCTGTTGGTGACTATAAACAGATTTTAAAAAGATAAATTTAAAGCTGCACAGCATTGAATAAATTCTCTTGTAGAACTCTTACTCAGTGTGGTTCCTGCAGCATACCCATATTAAAGCACAAGCTCAGCCATTCACTAGTTTTTGTTTTAGCCAAGGGGCCTTTTGCCTCTTGAAGGGCCCTACAACTCCATTCCCCAAACACCAATCTATCTTTATGCTGCAGCTGTTTCCTAGGAAACCGATCTAGCCAAATAAAAGACTTACACACAATAGAAAAAAGGACCGAAAGCAGGAACTACAGCATCCCACATGTTTCCTGGGATCTCACCTGTGTTATCACACACAAAAGGAAAAGTTATGACGAGTGTTACCCATCAAGTGGGTTATCTTAGCTAAAGCAGATATTCATCATCTGTAGATCCAGACATTCTGAAAGGACTGCAGCCAACTGGAGTATGTCTGCTGCCACAGTGAGGATGATTATAAGGCCTGTCATCACTACATGTAAAAGCAGTGTTGTGGAAAAATCTGCAACCCGAGGGATGTAAAACAGAGAGGCACATGCCCACCAGGGCCTGTCAACAGCAAATCAAATTATGTACTGTAAACATGTACTAATAAAAAAAAAATTTGAAAAAAGAGCGAATCATGTAAAGTGCTCATCAGCCTGGGCAGAGAGCTTTGGCACACGGGGGTTGGACCTGAGCAAAATGGTGGTGTTAACATTTGTGGTTCAGGGTCGAGGTGTAGCAGTGACAGTGGTGAGTGCACACAGTCCTGGGTTCAATCCCTGCACACACAAAGGTCTGCCTTCTCACACGTCCCCTCTAAGTTTCCTCTTTCTCACAATGCCTTCTTCTTTGCAAGGGGCTTTCCCTGTTAGTTCTAGGTGTACCCATCTGACCTGCATGATCTCTACCACTGATGCAGCCCTCTGGCTCTACTTTCTCTTCCCAGATATAAAAATCTGTTCATCTTTGGTTTGTGATTACAGACCAAACAAAAATGCTTCACCACAAATGTCTTAATGATTGATAAAAGCTTAATGTACTGCCCCTCCCAAGGGCAGGCACAGTATTTAAGCAAGGCACAGTATTCCAACTTAATTAAAAAGATAGAATTTCTTTTTTTTTTTTTTTGGTTCTGGGCTTGAACTCAGGGCCTTGTACTTGTGAGCCAGGCGGCAGAACCACTGAGCTAAATCCCCGGCCCCTAGAATTTCATATTTTAGAAGCAGGTTGGCTGAAGAAATTTAGGAGAAATGGAGATGGGTACAAACAGGAGGGGATAGGAGAGGGGGAGGGCCCCAATGCAGGCGACAACAGGTGCCTCCCTAGTCAAGTCACCCCGGCAGCCACACTTTGGTGAGTAGATGCACAATCATAGAAAAGAACAGCCTAACGGTAACTTTGAATCTATCTTTACATACTTATTTTTCCCTCCAGAAACACAGGTAGTATTGATGATTTTTGTCTGCTATGATTTCTGTATGGTTAAGACACAAGTGCTTATAAATAGTAAACTGGCCATAGAGAGTGAACAGCTAAAACAAAGGACCTCAATGAGCCAGACATGAGCACTGAAAATCTGAGTAACGAGATTTAGCACCAGTGTCCCTGACGGTAGCATCAAGCCTTGCTATTACCTCTTCTGTTACAATCCCTCCCTAGTACCTCTAGCATCAATCGCTATACTCTGTCCCCATCTAGTCATTTCCTACTGTCTTCCCTTCTTTCCTGTCCAGCCTAGAATCCTGGATCCAGTATACATTTTGTCCTTGTTGCATTTACTTCCATGATGCTGAATGCTGATGGAGAAAATCACA